GATTTACCGCTCAACAAGTCATATCACCTAGTATCAAATACCTAACTTATTTTATTCTGATGATTAATTGAAAAGTGCTCAATGTAAATAAAATTGTGGTGTCTGTTTGTAACATTAAAACAACCACATTTTACTATGTGCATGTTAATATCCATATGATACTCATACCAAAACAACGTTTTAGGTTGGTTAGGTTGTTTGTCCGTCTGTTTATACTGGCTAACCTCTGGAATAGCTGAACTGATTTTGACGGAAATTTCATTAGCAGGTATCTAATGTATTAAGAAGTAACATAGGCTACTACTACATATTATTTTGGATAATTCAATCATAAAAGAACTTATGTCCTAAAATTCATAATCTACGCGGGCAACATCTAGTCAAGTAATAATTTCCAATAGCAGTAGACTGGCAACCCTTACTTACTCGTGTGTGGTATAAATCGTAGGTATTTATCGGTAGTTAAAGGCGATCGTTTACCTTTGAACCACATGGATTGAACTTGAACTAGTCCCAATTATAGGTTCAGATAATCACTGGCAATGCGGTTAAACTATTATAAAAATATAAATGTTAGTTTAAATGCTGGTATGTTAATAAAGTTATGGGCAATTATATATTGATGGGTTGAAGAGTGGACGCAACACCTTTATAGGTATAACGACCTTATATTTAGAATCTGTCTTTCTGATAGAACCTAGTTAAGTTTGTAGTCTATTTAGCTCACCAATTGCTGACCAGCAACTTACTCCACCCTGGATACCGAATCCAAAACCTCTATTAAAAATTAGAACAAACAAAATACAATCAAAAGACTAACAATTATTAATTATACCAATTCAACCATTAACCCTATCACATTCAAAAGCTAAAACGGACAACAAAAGAACTAAGAATCAGTCTCATTGATCATTATTCGCACAAATTGCACCAGCCAATTAACCACTTGCAACACAATGGAGACAAAGGGAACGTCACTACAACAACAATACAGATTTAAAACAACAAAAGAACTGGAAAATAAATCGTGCGCAAGCGACTGGTTTACTCCAATTAAGCCCGTCTCTCATTTAGTATCGATTTGGGCCCGTGATCTCATTCCGATCCAGAAACCGAGTGATTTATCGTCAGATTAGGCCGTGTCGATGCGCTGACGCAACTGCCCACCCATCCGTGACCGTCGAACACTCCTTCATGACTTGTACCTAATGTGTCCTATTTTTACACATGGCAATGTGAACTGAAAAATGCCATTGATGACGCCATGCGACTGTTTACTTAAGATTCGTAAACATTATTCTGTCAAGACGCCATTATTGTCAAGGATTTAAGGATTTTCGTTGATAGTCCACATGCGGGTGACATTTTTAGTATGATTTAATGAACTCTCGTATTTGTCTTGCCGATAGCCTTTGTGGGCTGTTTTATTCCTGTGTTTGGCTTTTAAGTAGGAGAATATCTTATACTGCCTCATCAGTCAGTTATCCTCAAGTACCTACTTCGAAGTGTAGATATCGCTTTCCTGTTCGAGAAGAACATTTGTATTGTCATTTTTATTATTTGACAACTTTAACTAGCTACACCATTTTGTGACTACTAAAAAACTAAATTCGCTATTATCAATCACCACCTACTCCAATAGCAATCGAAGAAACATATACAAAATATTCGCAATCAATATAAATTAGCCAACAAACCAATGTACAATTACATTAAATATCGGTAACCATTAATATGCAGCTGAGTGATAAAATAGTTCGTTCACGGTATTCCGGAAACGTCCACAATATATAATGGATCGCCTAAGTAAACGTTCGTTCATCGACATTCGATTGCATCGAGCTGGGTCATCCATTCACTATTCTGTGTACAACAGAGTAAATTATATAGTGAAGATGTACTGGTTTTTGTTAACTTTGTATATTTGAAGTTACCTATTCAGAGTTAAAAAGACAATACCAACCAAGCTAATATTTTCTTAGGTTTCTGCCTTCTTTATCAAATATTCAAAAACATTTTTGTTCTGTTTCTATATGATATATCTACTAATCTATTTACCTACATTTGTCAATGATTAAAAATGCTACTGTTAATACTTAATTAAACGTAAATAAGCTACCTACTTTTAACTGCAAGAAAATTAGGGTTATATGAATGAAAAAAAAAAAACATGTATTACACCACGACATACGTGGACAAAAATACAGGAACACAAGAAATGACTTGTGCTCAGGTCAACGTTGAACTTATGACCCGGGCACGAAGATGGCGCTGATTCACAGTAGGTACCAGCCAGAATATTATAGTCTACTAAATCACAGAAACGCAAATTATTTCACCTTCCCGATTCACCTAACATAATTATTGCACCAAAATAAAAGAAAATCAACAACTTGAGAACAAAATGTATCAAAGACTTCCAACTTCGAACATACATTAAGCAACTTCCCATCTTAAGTTAAATCGAGCTAAGCCAATCTACTGTCTCAACGGATGTTCGCAAACTCATAGTCGTAAAGGACTCTTAGACTATAAATTTTAATAGACAAGTCTTCCCTTTATGCACTGGATTACGTATATTTTACTGCAAGTAAAATGTGCCTATCTAATCTGTATTGGATCTCTGATACAGTACGGAAGTTGCCAGACGATGAATATATTGAAATGCATAGAGGGACCAATTTAATGATACAATAGGATGTAAAAATACAAGTTATTGTTCTGTGTTCATATTATTAAATTAATATGTAATGATTTTTTTATGGGATAAGCGGGTAAACGAGCAATTTGATCACCTGATGGTAAGTAATTGGCGTTGCCTATGGACACCTGGAATTTCAGCGGCGTTACAAGTGCGTTACCGGCCTTTTGGGATTAGGAATTTGAGGATTGTTGGGGATCCAGGGATTGTGAAGGGGGGGGGGGCAATTGGGCCAAATGATAGTAATTTCTAGAAATAATCGCTTTTATAAGACAAAGCTGTTGAAATTCGAAACAAAATACATAGTTAACTGATCAAGATTAACAACACTAACTATAGGACCCAAGATTAAAAATGATCTTTACATAAAAACACACCGTAGGTACTAGAAATCCCAATGAAAATAACATCCCAACAAATATAAGCCACACATTATATTAGCAAAACTAATTCCTATAATAGCGCACTAAGCTATGAATGAATGGCTTATTTTAATAAAGTATTAGCAACCGATGTTATCGTTCACTTAGTATTCAGTGGCGCTCTCTATCGGCGACATAAAGTACTAGCGCTGTTTGTGATGGAAATTATAATTATCATTTGACACTTCCATGGGATATTAAGAGCCCTTTGTATTGATATTATTATATTTGTAATGTATGTATTGTTTTATTGCTTTGGTAAGGCGCCGTTCTTAGAATTTGAGTGCCAAATACTTGAAGCCCTTGAGGGCCAATATGTATGTATGTAGGTGACCAACAGAAATTCGAGGAATATCGATATTACGGATCACTACATACATTTATATCTGTCCATTAAAAATTAAAAAACTGCGTTTAAAAAAACCGACTTCAAAAACTAATAACAAACGAAAAGTGAATACTAAAAAGGAAAAAATTAACTATTATTGGTCATACGTAGGTACTAATAGCTTACACACCCACTGATAGGTTAGAAGTCAATGCCACAAACCCACAACAAAATATAAAGAATGGTCCCATGATAAGGAAATCAGGATCTGATGATGGAAAACCAGGGAAACCGAGGGGAACTTTTAAAAATTATAGAAGTGACTAATGCATTTGTTAATCCCTTTCCAACAAAAAAATAATTTTCAAAATTGGTTCATAAATAACGGTGATATCGGCAAACAAACATAAAAAGCATATATACGGTCGAATTGAGAACCTCCTCCTTTTTTGAAGTCGGTTAAAAATATCCTAAAATACAATTAATACCGAATTCAAAATAATGTACCCAATCTACGTGCAATTGATTAATGAAGTCCCTAAACACATCTTATGAAAGTCAATCGGATCAATAATTTTGTTTTATCCAATATTTTAGACGTGCCAAAGCCTTCTTGCATATCCACTAACAAACGGTCAAACCATGTATAAAATCAAACGAAGTTAAAACGATACATTTTAATCCTGAAGCAGTTGGATCCAATTTAAATGCTACAAGAACACATCGTCCGGAAAATAGGGTACAAAATAGTAAATATGTAGTTAACGTGCGGAATGCCTGAGAACGACCACCTATCACGTTGGACATTAAATAGTGACCCAATGATACTGCCAAGTTCTTTGTACTTTCCCTGGTTGATTCACGAGAGAACTAAAAATTTGTCTATAAATACATTATTTATGACAAAGGTTCTTTGTAAGATTAATAGAACTGAGAGAGTTGGTATAGCTAAAAAAACGAAACATTTCGAAATGATGTAAGTAGCATCAAAATTTCTTGTTTACCCCACAAAATTAAAATATACCTCTTCAAATGGTACGATTAACCATCGTGCAAGTCTTACGAAATCACACTACAGGTATTACTCAAATCTACCTACACTGTAATCGTAACTACAACCAAGAATAAATCGATTGGTCATCGCAGTATCAAATTGATATAATTCCATAGTCTTACGACTCTCTCAAGTAAGGTCTATACTTAGCCAAGACTGCACAAAACCAACGTTTTCTACATAAAATACTAAGCCGACTACAAAGAAACATAATATTACAGAAAGGCGCAACAAACCTTTAAACTAAACATCCAAAGACAGCAATAAAACCTGATTGTTGTTGTCAAAGCTCTCCGAAGTGAAAGCATTTCTTTGTTCAACGAGATGAGTCGACAATCACAAACGCTGAATTATTTCCACAAGGAATATTTTCGTCACCCTGTAAATTCGTACAAAGTATTCCCAAAGCTGAATAAATGTAATAAATCATGTGAGTAATCGTGCCCAGGGTGTTTACAAGTCATAAGATGTTGAGTAGTACTGTTATTGTTGCAGGTTCCTCGCTTGTTCGCGAGACCCACTCATATACGCACAAACGACGAGCACGGAGGTTGGACGACCGGTGAGTAACTGACGTCATCAATTATTGCCCTTTGATGTTGATTTACACTGATCTCAGAGAAAGCTTTCTTTATACAAATTGCCTGTTCCAGTGTATTGCAACATCGATAGCCTTTGCCTTAATCATTTGTTTCTGTATGATCGCGTCCGACGGAAGAATATCGAGTATAGCAGTGTGCTATACAACTGCATGTTCATGTGTGGCTTTAAATTATTCAGCTGTATTCAAACATACGTGACTGAAATTCGTTTCACCACTGTCCACTATACATAACAATTCAAACAATGTAGCCTATAATACTGAACATCTGGGCCAATTTAGGCACAATTTCGACAATGATATAACCAAGTGGAACATTTCGTACAACGTCAATGAACTATCAATCAATCCACCATTCATTTAATAGAAATGGGTATTCGTATCAGCTGAATCAATGTTTCCTTGACTGCTATTGTGGTTTCAAAATTTGTTCCGTGAACATTCTAGAACAATTGTCATAATTTACATGTATTTATGGGAGTGCTGTACATAATGATATTATTTCAGATGTATCTATTGAGATACGAGTTGCCTTGACATAGTAATACCACTAATAAAGATTTCAAAGGGAAGCGTTCTGAAAATTACGTTCATATACGAGAATCAATACTTTAGATCAAAGAATTCCATCAAATTATATCGATTTTTTCTCAATGATTGATAATGATCTATCTAACTGTATACATTTGATCTTTTGAAATGATTTAGTTGTTTTGAAGAATTCATACAAAATTTTGATCAAGGTAAAAAATATTGCATGAAATAATTTCCAGGAATCGTACCCTGGATAAGGAGGTTTTGGAATTAATCAGTAATACCATTAATTTTAGCCATTACCTAAAGTGCTTCATGTTATCAACATGTTAAATCGCCATCTTCCAGGTGCAAAGAACGACAGAAGCGATTCGAACGAACACGACTATGTACGCATGGAGTTCGTGGGGAACCTGGACTCCTTGCTCGAAGACCTGCGGAGGTGGTGTGGCTGTACAGGAACGGCACTGTCTGCCCAGGGATCCTGCTAGGTAAGAACTTTTTAGTAGCTACACTATTTTGGGCTTTGACAGCCAATACAAAGATGAATCCATCCCTTCAACATCGATCACTTCACTGGTAACCCCCATAGCGTTAAACGAGTTAAGCAGATACGCCTTTTTTACAATTCTACTGGATCAAGCTTTAAACGGCTTTTTGAACTTCTATATACTCATAGTCTATTCTTAGATCAAAACCATGTGTATTATTTCGTTGAAAAAATCCAAAACCAACAAAACAGGATTCCGAAAAAAAGTCACTAACAGCTAGTTTCCACATATCCTATAATACAAAGAACATCTGGACATCCACATACCCGATACAATCAAATTAAGAACACATTATAAAAAAAAACTTTAAAAAACAATACTGTCCCATTACAAGCTATTAACAATCGTAAAAAAAACAAAAAACGAATTCGAATGCGACGATAAAACGCTAATAAATACGTTATTCCATTATTCTAATTTCAAAAAGGTATTAAAAGTCGGATCCGTGTCGGACAATATAAAACAAACAGGGGAACGCGTGAAGAAGATTAATGTGTTAAAGTTTTTTGTATTGTTCGTGATGTTTTGTCTTAATTGTTTCATTATGCGGCCGTTGAAGATAAGCTTGTCATAGCTAAGGATGAGGATACTAATTCTTTTTGTAACATGCTGTATAGTTGGCGTAGGTCAGGGTTATCAACTTTACTTATTTTATTTTTAGAAATGTTTTTTTTTTCTTATTCGCGATTCATTCCAAATTCTGGTGTTAATGTTAATGCCGTAATTAAAAAACTTCGATAATGATGTTTAAGTACCTAAACGTCTTTTTGTAAGAATATGTATGTAAAAGAACTATTTTTTTATCGATAATAAAAAAAAACCATTACTATACATTAGAGATTACTTATGCTCAAAAATTCTTAAAAAATATTCTAGTCCTCATTCAATGAATATAATAAACCAAAATCATCGGGTCAGCCCTATCGTGTCGCGGGCGCATTGATCATAGATCACAATGATATCTAATGATAGGGCGCGTGATCGATAAAGGAGCGAGAGCTGGCCACCGCGGGAGAGCCTCTGTGCCTGCGCAGACCGACCCCTTACTGCCCAGTACTCGGGAAACTCGATTGAGTCATATTTTATCGTAGATAGAATAATAAAATGAAATAATGTATTTTCTCTTTGCTAATCGATTTGTCAGTATCGAATAGTTGTAATCGATTTTGTAGATAGATGTAGTTTATGGTGATCTGGAATGTTAATAAGGGTTGTTATATGGTTTTAAATGTCTTATAAAAGGTTTTGGTGTAACTTTGAGTTTAGATAGGGTTGGAAAAAGGTCAAAAGTTTATTTAGAACCATTTCAGAACCAACACAGATACGATTTTTTTTATTGGGATAAGTACCGCCATAAACCGCTGCAACTCCCGTAAACCAGGATGTATAGTAAACACAACCATAAAAATACTGAAGTTCTATGCAACCTAGAGGCATAAATAACTTTCTTGAACCCTGCAAGGAAATAAATCAGAAGATGTCATAAGAGGAGAGGAAACAGACGATAACAGGAGACAGAATGGAAACCAAAAATTACTAACATCACGCAACCCCAAAACGTAACATCATCCCTTTTATCCCCGAAGGCCGAAGGTGTAGACAGAAGTGCACATTACGGCACTTAATGCCGCTGAATAACGTAACACCCACTTTTCACTATTTATGTTATGAGTCCCATGTAATAGGGGGTGAGCCTATTGCCATATACCGGGCACATTTCCAGCGCCGTGCTAGTAGGTACTGAGATTTTTAAAAAACTCAGTAATGCTTTGCCCGACCCGTGAATCGAAACCGAGACCCATTGGCAGTCGCACTTACGACCACTCGGCCAATAAGGCAGTCAGACAGACAGTTTAAATCTCTAATTCAATTATACCTACCATCAAGTTTCTCTCTACACTTCCTTACTTGTTACCCTGTCTATCCATCAATCCTCGTTCATTTTAGCTATTAGCCCTGTCTCGTCATATCATAGCCAAGTCATCATCCCTCAAGCTTAAGGATTAGGATACACTGAGTTACAAAACCGAGTGGTTAATAGCCCTTACTGTTTAACATGATTTAAGACATTAAGTCTTATCACTAAGTTCTATATATAATTATTTCTGTGACGTATTTTCTTATACCAATTTTGTAACAACTCAGTTTTAAAATCAATCGCAAAGATAATCGCACATGAAAACGCTTGTATTTTTTTTCCTGTGTCACAAACTTATGCAGTTCAAAACTGCTGCGGTTTATGCGTAGTTATAGCCTAAGCCTAATAGAGGATCTAAACGCTGAGACAAACGATTGCTGTGACTAATGGCCTATCACGTCTCGCAAAACATTTCCCGTTCATCGAATGATTTTAACTAAACGATAATGAAATATTGTTCAATACGTTCTGTTACCTTAATATTGTGGCTTTTGTTTTGATGTTAATGATTTTGAACTTAGTTCAGCAGTAGATGTCCTGTGACTGATAAGGTTGGATATTGACGAACTGTTAGACAAGATCGATTAATGGGTAATATTGCAGTGTCTAAGTAAGAATTGGTGCTATTGGTCACCTACTTCTTAATGTAATCTAATTTAAACTTAAGTAATCAACCATTCAATTTTGAAGTAAAATGTACAAAAAACGAACAATTTGGAAATCTGGCTTGATCAAATTCATATCAATCGACTACACGACGCACCAAAAATAAAACTAAGACACACATATCAAACTTCACTCGAAAATGACCCAAAGCTCTGATCGTATTAACCTGGGACTAATGCCTCGTACACACGATCCGAGTCGACACTATCAAAATGAGATGTGATAGTTATGACTATCGATTGGACACGTGAATTTCGTCCGCCCATCACAACAATCGCTGAACGGATTATCAACACTTTCACATTTGTATCTGACCGACAGTTCCGCCGTATTATGTGTTCGGACCTTAATACTTCTTTACAATAAAGCAAACATATGCCGTGGTAATATAACAGGTGTAAATAATTGTTAGAAGAGTGATATCAGTTTGCCTCGTTGGCCGAATGGTCGCAAGTGCGACTGCCGGACAAGGGGTCTCGGGTTCGATTCCCGGGCCGGGCAAAATATTACTGGGTTTTTTTTATAAATTCTCAGTAGTAGCACGGAGTCTGGAATTGTGCCCGGTATATGGCAATAGGCTCACCCCTATTACATGGCACTCATAACATAAATAGTGAAAAGTGGGTGTTACATTGTACAGTGGCATAATGTGCACCTCTGCCTACCCCTTCGGGGATAAAAGGCGTGATGTTATGTTATGTTATGTTAAGAACCAGTAAGAAACTCCATAGGTTAGGTATTTTTTTGCTATTATTCAGTTTCAAAGTAGGTACCTAAGCAGTTACTAAGTAGCATATTTGCATATCTCATTTTAGTTTGTTGACTTTAGCATGCAAACATGCAGTACTCAGTACCATTATCAAGAAAATATGTCAGAATCACAAAATATTACAAGCTATGAAGCACCAATAACTTGACTGTACAAAGTCAAAGGCTAACCAAAAGTTCGTGGGACTTTCACCCTTATTGCATAGAACATGGCAAATTAAGGCAATATAAAATTGGATGAGGCATGCGAACAACCAGTAACAAGCTTTTACCGTTTTCGTACATGCATTTTGATTGACGAACAAAATGCTCTTTTAGAGGAACACGATTGTAATCGTTATTGTTTTACAAGCATTTTGTTTTGTTATGAAATATATTTGTGTGGGAAATTGTTTCTTGACCTTTAGGAATTAGGGCAGCAAATTGTAAAATGTATTCTGGTTAACATAGCATTTAAGTCCATTATGGCTCTACGGCAAATACTATACTCATAGATCTACATTTGACCCAATATATTTTTATTGGCTAATACAGTTATTTATACCATCATCATTGCGACCCGGCTCCTTCGCATAGATGCAATATGCATATATTATACATAATAAACCTTTCTTAAGAATCACTCAATCTATTAAAACAAACCGCATCAAAATCCGTTGCGTAGTTTTAAAGATCTAAGCATACATAGGGACAGACAGACGGTGGATAACGACTTTGTTTCGTACTATGTAGTGATACTAATTACAAAACAGATATTCCACTTCAAACTACAATAGATATTTCTAAAACCTGAAAATGAACTTGGACTTCTAAAAACTGACCATCTACTAACATTCTCCAGGAGTCGCGGAGAACCTAACGGGTAACCGGGGCTCCGGCTCGACGTGCAGGAGAAGGAACGGGGTGGTTTTTAGTCAGTAAGAGTCTGACACTCCCTCCCACCTCACCCAGGCGGGAGCAGTCATTCGATGATTTTCCCCCCTTAAAAAAAAAAACATTCTCCAAACAAACACTACTTCGAACTTTACAAGCCCCTCCCTATTAAAATTCCCGCCGCATATATCAAAATCTATCAAAACATTTGTATTTATACGTATTTAATCAGCTAAATGTTCATGTTAACTAGATACCCATCAACATATTACTTTCCAATTTGTTTTTACGACTGTTTTACGAGCACAACCGACATTAGTCGAACCTTTCCGATGACTTACAACTGTTACGCGGGCGCATTGGGTCACAATTCTCATCAAAGTATTGATATTATGTCGAGATAAGTAAATATTTGAATATCATTTTCTCTGTCGTGTTTGGAATGGACGTTATGTGAACTTTTCGTCTTTATTAATTAGTTTAACTTATATACTGACGACATTTATATCGCCAGGCAAGCTATTAAGCGAGTGTGGAGACACCTTCTATTCCTAATTCTTTTAGTAAGCCAGCCAACGGAGTCAACCAGAAATCATGCACCGAGTAGCAGAGTCTGAAAAGACACAGCTCAAGGCTAATCTAGTAGCTTACGAAATCCATTCCCAAAATTAATTTCCTCTCCCGATCCAACTATGAACTAACTTCAAAAGTCAAAGCCGAAACTCTTTCAAAGATAGACAACAATCGATAAACAATATACATTCCTAGATATCACTCGACATGACAAACAAATGACTGGCGCGGCGCGAACAACTAATTAAAACATATCATCTTATAGAACGAAGTAAGTATCAATATCTGTGAACCAATTACATGTAGGCGTATAAAAGGCGAGGTATAGTTTCATAATTTTAATTACGAAACAAAGGTCGTGTGTGGCGCCCCGTCGCGGCAGAACTCTGTACTAATGATGGGCTGAAACAATGAGGTTTTATTACGTGTATGCGGTATGTAGCGGGCCTACTATGTTTTATGTACTGGTATTATGTATGTAAGAACAATAGTGAAGACAAATTAACAGATTGTTGTGATTCATCCCACGTCTGTGTCTATAAAATTTTCATTAAGCCTACTTCTTCAGGAGTAAGTAAAGATAAGCTTTGTTGCAATATGAAAGATTTCGATGGCAAATTATTGAGGCACATGAAAGTTGGCTATCTTTTATATAAGACAAATATATCTTTTAAGAAGGTTTTATATGTATTTCTAAGATTCAAAGTTAAGGGCTAAACACAACTAAATAATTGTAATAACTATAAAAAGTAACTAGTATGTACCTACGTCTCAAAATAAACTTAACATCCTTTTCAACAAATTATTGACAAAATTCCTTTACTAAAAACAATAAAAGAAAGAAAACAAGTTTATATTTAAATAAATATCATACGTCGTCTACAGCATACTTAAGGATCACGTACGTCAATATGTAAAAACATGCATATTTTAAATATTTCTTGCAAAAAAAAACTTCAAACAGATGTATGGAGCAAACACTTGACGATGTTTAATTTTCTTTGGTGTTTAACATTCGTAAATAGATACGGTATAATGTAAACTAGAAATCCTGTAGTAAATAATAAAAATAGATCTTATTGTGTATGATGATAAATGCCTATTTAGTTATTTAATTTGTCAATGATATTTCTATTACGTAGAGATGACAATTATGAGGCAATAGCGAATACTCATAACATAAGTGGTGAAAAGTGGGTGATTTTACGTCAACTCTGATTAACCCTTAAAGAAATAAAAGTTAAATGTTGGAGAGCCATGCTTCGGTACGAATGGGCCGGCTCGACCAGAGTGATACCTTACAGAAAAGCGACTTGAAAAGAAATTAGTATTCAATATTTAAAAATAAAAATCCAGTCCTGTGTTTTTTGGGGTCGCGGAGAACCTAACGGGTTACCGGGGCTCCGTCTCGAAGTGCAGGAGTAGGAACGGGGTGGTTTTTAGTCAGTAAGATTCTGACACTCCCTCCCGCCTCACCCAGGCAGGAGAAGCCATTAGATAATTTTTCCCCCTTAAAAAATCCATCAAAGGTTCTTAAGGAAAGAATCCTGACAACACTTAATGTAGATTGAAAATTGTAGATCTTGTCAAGTCAGTATCACGAATACACAGATTGATAGACATTAGACAATATTCAATTCAAACGATACAAAAGTAAATGATAAATACTTTGATGTTGTCTCATTTGAAAATCACGTCCATTCGAAAATCAAACTGGGATCTTGACCAGTTGTCACGTTTGCAAACGTGAAGCAGACAATGAAGATAGATAATATTATATATTTTGAACGAAGCAGACAACTGTCTTCTTTGTATAATGATAATATTAAAGAACAATATGATAATAACCATACAGCCATTACTGATACACCATTGCCAAAAATGAAAGAAAATACTAACTAAACTGTTCAAATTCCAGAATGCGGCGTAGTAGAAAAAGAAGGAAACTTGTAAGGAGTATAGACCACACGAGGCGAGCACGCAACGTGATCCATGGACCGAGCTCATCGGGACCTGACTGCCCTGGACTAGCAAGGCGATACCACGAGTGTAATACTGCAGTAAGTACAATAATCTGCATCTATATTATCACCAGCATTAAATCTATTATTAGGATAAAGAATCCAAAGAAGCTTTCGCGGAAAGAATTTAATCAAATGCAATAATTTTTCTACGAAGGATCCTCTATAGAATTAGCGTGCGTCGATAAAACAAAATTGAGTAAAACAATCAGGCTATAAATCTCGTCGGCTACCATTGAAAGTAAAATTGGTCCCAAAAACCCCAAATTAAATTCAGGATTCCTTTCTTGGAAGTCCAATCCATAGGAGATGTTTTAGAAAGGAATAACCGAAGCTTTTTTGTACCAAACGTGCTACTACTTGTAGGTAGGTCAATACATCAAAAACTAAATTAAAATATCGATAAGCTACTGCGCGCGCGATGCTATTGTCTTCGTTATCAGCATGAGTTTCAAAGATACAATGCTGCTATATCTTTGGATTGTTGATAGCTAACAGATGCAGATCAACCTGCCCCGATCGTTATATTCTACCAATAGAATTTAGACTTTATTAAAAAAGAACTAAGTAGGAAATGTAAAAAAGTAGATTGACCTGCCTTAGTTTGTATAAGCGAAAGGGCCATGACGCTACACAATACTAACTAAATACGAATCATTGTTGAGTCGGCAATCTCTCTATGAGGTCAATGTTCAGTTTAATATCAGTAGTTATTAGTCATGCGCGGAATTGTATGCCAAGGTTCGTTATCACCTTGATTAAAGCTTTAAGTAGTTGTAGTTGGATTTTCTTTGGTAGATTTTCTTTTTATTTTTCATATTCATTTTCCTCACTCCATCTATTGTTGTTGAATTTGTTATCTATGCTGTTGCAAAGATTTATTTATAGAAATTGACATTTTTAATGGTAATAATAGAGGTACATCTATTTCCCTTTTTCCAGCCCTGTCCTGGTCCAGTGCGAGATCCGCGCGTAGAACAGTGTGCCATGTACGACCGGAGACCTTTTCGCGGTCGGTTCTATACCTGGGTGCCTTATGTTGATGGTAAGCTCCTGCTCTTAATGTAGTTAGTTAGTTTATGAAAGTGATTTTTTTTAAACGTTGCCCCACGATATTATTTTTCTCCTGTGTCGTGTGTGCATTTACAAACATACAAGTTCACATACACATGATACCCAGACCCGGAAAAACAATCTGTGGATCACACAAAGAGTTGTTCCGTGCGGGAATCGAACCCGCGACACGTTGCGCGGCAGCCAGTTGTCCAATCACCGCGCCAACCGTGCCGTCGTGAATGAATTTAGATTGTGATTATACTCGATTTAAGAAAGGTGACAAATGTAAAGAAACCATTAATGTTCATAAGAAAAGGTAGGTTTGCTACGGTAGTCCATAATTCACTTAATCTATCGATTAGCGACTTATACACAGCGAAAATGAGCAGGAATAATATAGAAACAACTTCTTTTTTTAAATAAGTTTATTTATGACACATTTTAGTATTGCTTGATTGAAAAATATAAAGTACGTCTAGTTTCTTTCTAATCAATATAGTATGAACAAAGATGAGAGGGTTCTTCGAATTTTGAATTTTAGCGCGAACGCGAATTCACTACGTATCGCGCTACAAAGGAGGTTTTTAACATGAAACTTGCCTACACCGCATGAAAATCGGTCTAGCTAATCGCGAGATAAGCGCGCACAAATATACATACATACATACATACAGATGGTCAATCAGAGAACATCCTCTTTTGAAGTCTGTTTAAAAAGAATTTCCTCAAACCCTTCTTATGAGAAAGTGTATACTATTTCCAGGTGACTCCCCATGCACCCTCAACTGTCGGCCGCGGGGACAGCAGTTCTATGCATCGCTGGCGCTGGTGGTGGACGGTACGCCGTGCACGAAGCCAGGGTTCCGAGCCATCTGCGTGCAAGGAGATTGTAAGGTAAGTAGTCGATGTAAGATGAAGACGTGCGGTATTTATTTCAAGGGGGTCGATTTTGAGGAATATTTATGTGCAATTAATTTAAATTAAGCTAAAGGTTTTTTTGCACATTTGACCACGTATTTTTTAGAGCGGTAACATAACAATAATAGTAGCTTATTATTGAATTACTAAAATGTTTCGTTATATTAAAATTTTTTTTTATTCCACTCATGAGCAAATCAAATCGGAAGAAACTTTACGAAATGTTTTTTTCATTCACTCATACATTAACTGCAAACTACAACGCCATCTAGTGGCCAGTAGTATTTGCCATTTATCTTTACTTGTTTAGTGACGAACGGTCTAGCGGTACTTGACGATGAAGTTCGTACGTCTATTTTACTACTCGTTACGCCATCTATTGCGGAATAGGGAAAGCAAAGAAATTCTGCACTGTTAGATTTTTGTAAAAAAATTTGGCTATTTGTATTAAAAGGCTCTAATAAAAATATTAATCACAAGTTTGCTTCAAATGGCATAAGTCTTAAATAAATAAAATTGCATTAATAAATAAGTTTTTTTAAGTCATTGAGTTAGTAAATCAATGTTTTTACATATTACGTATACAATTATTATCTAGAGGTACAATAAAACAATACAATTTTATACAGAACAGTTGTTACTTGACTCGGCCCAAGAATCAAAATCATAGTTGTACAATTATTCAGAATTTAGATTTACAATTTAGATCTCAAACTATGAAATGCAAATAATAAATTATTCCAAAAAAAGAGCATAAAAACATACGAAAAACAACTAAAGTTCACATAATGTAGCTACCCTGACACCATCTGTAACAAATTATCAACTTTAAAGCTTTAAAATAAAGCCGAGATTCGCTAGAATAAGCACTTACACATTTATTTACGTAAACAAACACCGATTACTTGCATTACTAGTAAGTTGTGTACTAACAATCAGTATGCATGTTGGAATGTCCCACGGGGCGCGTTCGTGTACCGAGTACCGAGGTCCAACTTCCTACCCCGGCCCGGTAATAAGCCCGCCAGCATCGGCATTTATTTTACAATGTAGACACATGCAATACACAGACTGTGTGATGTTTTATTTACAATTCATTTATTGTTTCAATCTGCGTATGTGTAAGTTAAGGAAGATTTAAATCTTTTTTTCAATTTTGGACATTTTCAATATGGAACTGGAACTCATTGTGTCCTGATTACAAAAGCAAGTTCCTTTTATTATGGTATAAGCCGGTAAACGAGCTGACGGACCACCTGACGATAAGCAATCGGTGCCACCTATGGACACCCGGAATACCGGTTACCGGCCTTTTGGGGATTACGAATTTGAGGATTGTGGGGAATTTAGGGATTGGGGAGATTGAGAAGGCTAATTGGGTCTCCAGTAACCTCACTCACATGACGAAAATCATCAGCGTGACGTTCACCGTCAAACAAGGCTCTCCACTTAAAATAAGGTTTAATTCAACGCTTGACAGACAATTCATGGATGGCAGTTAGATCAGAAAAGCTCTAAGTAGGTAGCTTTTTAGAGTTCTGCGACATTTCAATTCCATCCAGGCCTAAAAATATCATAAAGTAATCTAAATCATTTAATGGTTAAAGTCATCAAAGGATTACCCATTACAATTCACAATTTGACTTTTAATTAATTCTTACCAAAGGTACACACAAACTTGATCAGGTACACATTATGAACTCACAGCGCGAGACTTAATAAATGAAGGAGGTAATACAAAGATTTGTAAAACTAGTAATTAAATGCCTTTGGCTTGGCTGAAACAATGGCTAATCTATTCTAATCTAATCTATTAACGAGCAGTCCAAGCAACCAGGTGGAAGGTGGAAGCTTAAATAATTCTGCTATATTAAACAAAGGAGGGGTATAAATTATCGTGAGAATAGTGAAATTTAAGATGTGTATCATATCGTAGTACGATGTGTCAGGAATGAGCCTGAAAGAGTCGCATTGAACATTGAACATAATACCTATCTTAGTGAGTTCGATAAATAGAACATCGTCCTTAATATCCCATTATCAAAGATGGCTAAAATATTGAATAGATTAGTTAACTTAGCTATTAAGCGTAGATTATAAGTAAATAAGTCCATCCTCATGAGGGTGCATGTCATTTTTGATAAAACCCTTCAAAATTAAATTAAAAAAACAAATGTTAAGTAAAGGGAATTGAGAGAGATTGTTGTAACTAGATACTTCATATAGGTACGTTCTTTTTCGTTTCCCTTTGATTTAGTCGAAAGGATAATGAAGAAAGTTTCGTGAACTCGAAATGTCTAACGAAATTTGGGTACGCATTAATTTGAGTAAGCAATAATCTGCTTTGGATCTGAATGGATGTAAAATTAGTTATACGGTCATGGTCGACACACCGAATGTAATTTAGAAATAGATAACTTCACTAACAACTCTCGACCTAAAGACTCATCACAAGACCTCATTGATATAATCAATTGAGACACTCGACCAACAAATCAGTATTTATTTTACTTAATTTTTACAAAACTTATAATACCAAAGGACGATGAAATACATCAACGTTAAGTGAGGGAGAGCCATGCTTCGGCACAAATGTGCCGGTTCGACCGAAGTGATACCAAGGCATCATAGAAAACCGACGTGAAACAACTCTAGCGTAGTGTTTCGTCATGTGAGCGAGGTTACAAATCATCAATTATCAATCTCCTCTCCCTTTCCCAATCTCCCCAATCCCAGAATCCCTAACTATCCTCGAATTACTTAACCCCAAATGGGCAGTAACGCACATGTAACGCATCAGGTGTTTCGGATGTCGATTGCTTACCATTAGCCTTCGCCTGATCATCTACCAGCTTATCCTATAAAAGAACGTAAAAAATATAATGACGCGGCATTTACTTACGCAATCAAATACAACTGTCATAGATGTACATTTAATATGAATTATGTTTAAATCTGCTTTCAATACATGTGGCGTTAAGATGTGATTGGACCGAGGTTACAGATTATGTAGTTATTGACGTCATACCACGATTATTTTGGCATCGCTGTGTAAAAATCTGTCGATCCAAAAACAATTTCTTCCTGTATCGGAGTAATATAAATAAATATGTTGTGTAAGTCTTATTTACTTCCTCTACAGAATCATATGACTTCCTCGAACCTAGGGATACCTACCTAATTAGTTCCTCGGAATGTCAGGTTAGATCCCATAGATGTAATATTTAATATTACTGTGTTTGAACCTCGGGTTTAATAGAGTACATTTGTTGAACGTTTTTAGTTAGATAATTTAAAACTAACACAGATTGATAGGCCTTCTTTTATAAGATAATTTTACTGATAACAATCGTGGAACCACATGTACCCAGTTTAAACAACAAGTGGCAGTAGTAAAAGCCCCTTCACATACTCCTTTGCGAAACAACAGACGCGATATCATTGTATATTAAGGAACCAAATCTAATAGGACACCACAAAGTACATAAATAAGTCCAGTACTTATGTACTTTATGGCCGGAGGGCAAGTATGCAGGCAGTATAGTATAGATATCTAGAATCTGGCCACACTTGACCAAGAGGCCGCGGGCGCCTAACGGTACCAAAGATCAGTTGCTATTGTTCTGACAGTAATTGTTGTCGATTGCCCACCGACTACAAAACACCAGTTTCAGATGACCCCTCTCCACCTTCTCTCACCTACAAATGCCTTAGACCCTTCCCAAACCCAAGTGTCATCGTCACTGGTTACATAAATCATGTGCACATTATAGGTTTTTGTCGTGTCCCCTTCGATTTTATAATATTTCCATAAATTATGACGCAGTAATTTTGCCTTTAGATTTTGGAATATAATACACATAGTTAGAAATTGAACTAAAAACTATCTAGACATTTAGGAATATCTTGATTTTCCAACTTGTTTTTTATTCCCTTATCATTTACTGCCGCAAGTTAGTCCAAGGATCAAACCTTTATCTCTGCCGAGACATGAAAATGAAACACCGTAGAATTAAGATCGTGTCTACGGGTCAGTACAGTAAAGTAAAAATTTACTAGAAATCTTATCTAGTAACAATGTTTATCCGACCCTGGAATTGAAACCGGGACATTGAAAACCACATTTGTAATTAAAAACCACTACACCAATAAGATAGTGTCACAACACCTCCGCTTGCTATGAAAGAACTATTTTCGTTTACAAACCTCGTTTCGTTGTCCCATAGTGACTACGCCTCCTCGGGGGCTTTACCATAACCACAGTTAGTCATCGTTTGTCCGATTACACTGCGAACAATAAGGTTGAGAGTACATCCTAGAGTTATAGTTTAGTAATGAGCCACAGATGGGCGCAAACTTATCGACTACTTACTAGTTTGACTCACTTCAATGGCGCCTTGAGTGTTCCGGTACATTTGATTGCGTGGTCCTCATTTGTTCCTACTCTGTATGACTAACGTTAACCGTTACACAGATTTTAAAGTAAACATTGGCATATGAATAAATTTTGAGTCATTAAAATTTAGGACTGACGCCATAAAACAATATTAGCAAATTATAATCAAATTGCAACTAAATCAACGGTTATAAATACAAGAAGAATTTGCAAGACGAAGTAATGCAATACCATCGTAGATAGACGACTAAATTAGTAGCAAATTGTTCTTTGCAAAAGCAGTAGACAACGTATTGATTAATACAATATCCATTGCTGTTGATACAAGACTCTCTTTTATTTCTAACTTCATATTACAAGCAATGGAAAAGAAATTAGTAGTTGTGATCGTTGTATTAAGTGGTGATTCGCCTGAAGCAGTATTTGCTTTGCGTGGTACGACAAATTAATTGTACGGTAATGACAAGTCGGCATCGGTTGATGTTGGGACTTGTTAGTCGATTTCTATCGCTCCGTTATTACCAATCCGTCGGTAGTCTAAGTACTAGTTGTTTTGAGTGAGCAATTCCCTTTTTAATGT